CGGGCGGCGGGGCACGGCGCCGCCAGCTCCCCGCTCACGACCCTCTGGGGTGGGTGGTGCGCCGCCCTTCAGCCCCTCATGGGTGTCGGTGGAGGTAGCGTTCCCGGGGGGGGAGGGGGGGGAGACACACACACTGAAACCTTCCCCTTTACCCGTTTATTCATAGCTGATTAATAATAAAAATTAGAACCCGCTCAGGTTTGGCCTCCGTGGGCTGACCTGGCTCTGCAGCGGCAGGAGCAGCTCCCGCAGAGGAGAGGGGCTTGGAGCGGAGCCGCGCGTATCCCGCACCTGCATGTGCCCGGCCTGCCCGCTGCCGCAGAGGGCAACAGGAAAACTGAAAAACAGAAAAAAAAAAAGCTAGTAACAGGCCTGGGAGTTAAACTGGGGTCAGAAAATACACCCCCGAGTCTTTCCCAATGCAGTAGGTCATTCTCATGAAAGAAAAACCTGCCCACATAAAACATATAATTCTATAATCTCTTTGTTTTGTTTTAGTGTTTTCCTGTGACACGATGTTTGCCTCTCCCTTGGCCATTTGGCTAGAATGAATGGACAGCTACGCTACAGGCCATCAAACTCTTTTAGCCCATCATAAATACCCTGTGTCTCCATAGTCAGTGCTCAAATCCCACTGCTGTTAGAGCCTGTGCTGTAACAGAAATGAAACAGAGAAGCTTGTGTGTCACTGTTGTTACAGATCTGGGATGTTACTGAGAGGAGGGAGTTAAGGCAGCGGAATGAAGTCAGTAGAAAGCAGCCCACAAGGACTGGCAAATAAATAAATCATCCTAACTACATTGTTATCATGGCTAGCTTGAGCTTCATTGTCTCTTTCATTCTTACCTGTATCCCTGTTACACTTTTCTCTTTGTCCAACCCAAGCAATCAAAAGAGGCTGTGGGCAGTAATTGGCTCCTGCCCCTTTTTGGAAGTTGCTAAAAATACTACCTTGCCTTTGCATATCTGGAGGTCAATTGAAAAATCAAAATATTGAGGTAGACAAATTCTGCAGACTAGACTATTGAGATTCTTCATTGCATTCCTTCCCAGAAGGGGAATATAGAAATATCTGAACACACATAAAACAAGAAATTCTCTTACATTCTACCTGCAATTCAGCACCCTCATCTGCACTGATGACTGTAGGCTTCCCTAGGCACTTGAAAATTGCATTTCTAGCTTTATAAGACTGGCAGATGTGTCCTGCGCAGTTCTGTCATATCTCCTATCTCTCAGGCAGACAAAATTAGCTTTGGTTAAACTAAGAAAAAGATGATATGTTCAAGATGTTGCAGTCTGGGTACATGCCTGTACCTGCTTCGTTCTGTCTTGGGGGAGGGTGGTTAGTCTGTGCTTCACTTCTTCATCCATCAAATGGAAATAATTTATTTCTATTTTCTTTGTAGAAAGGAAGCAGGAGTAAAAGGGGTACATACCAAAATATTTTTCTGAGATAGTAGAGTTTGTTACGGTAGAGTTCATTAGGTGGATGTATTTTTTATGGCAAGACACAAAATAGTTATTATTTAATGTTCCTCTTAGGCTAATTTTCCAGGACAGCATAAAAAACATGCAACACAAATTGAGTGAAAGTAAGAAGGAAAAATTCCTTGTACCTCTAGAGAATATTCTGTGGATTAAAAATGTTTTTCACATGGATCATCTAGATAAAATATTCTTCACATTTTTTGTGAGAATGTAGGC